AAGCTTTTTAATAAATAAATAAGTACATACATTGGTGGAGACTAGCCATTTGTTTTGTCTCTGCAAAAAATGCTAAATTTTCAGTCCTTCAACCACCCTCTACCCCCAAATTTGCTTTTAAAAATGAGAAATGAACTTGATAGTAACAACATCATCTAAAGCACCTGCAAACAACTGAGCATGAAGAAAGATGAGCACCTATCATTTGAATGTCTCATCTGGGAAAGCTCGTAGTTTTGACCTCCTTCCACTCTAATTGGTTGCGTTACAGGTTCTAAGGGTATAACAAAGTGGCTTCTCCATTTAGAAGAAATGCTTGTTGGTGCTTTGAGCCAAAGGGCTTCTAGCACTGCCAATCATTTCCTTCTGAAATAATCTAAAAGCAGAATTCCCATTAATAGTCCACACTTTGGCAGGGTGTAGCATTTTGGGGGCATATGCATCCCAATTTCATTACACAAAGATCACAACATTAACAGAGTAATGTTAACATTAATCATCATTAACACAGTGTGTAGGATTGTCTCATCCCTTTTCTTGAACCTCTTGGAGCCACGTGCCATTTCTTCCTTTTGAGGGAAGTACTTCTTCACATGATGTTAGCACTCTGCTCTCTCTCTCTCTCTCTCTCTCTCTCTCTCTTTCTCATTCTCTTTCGTTGCTGTGCTTAATATAATATTTTAAGCTTAGAGAAGCCAAGAGGAAAGGGAAAGGCCTTGCTTTGCAGAACATAAAATGGCTCAGCAACTGGAAATGTGCAGCAGACCATAGAAACTGAGGGGCATCCCCTGCCACATCTGTTTGCATCAGTCTTCATTGCAGAAAATATAGGACAGGGCACCTGTACCTGAACGGCTGTTTTCAGAAAGGAAGTCAGAGAAACCGAGGCAAATCATGGTGACAAAATGAAGTTTTCAGCCTTATTTACAAATGGAGAATTAAAAAATCACTAGGCCCAAATATGCAACTGGATCACAATGCCATCTGGGCCTGCTGTAAATGCCCATGGATGAGACATGAACATCACACTGTAATACTTTCTCTGGGTGAATTTTCTGAACATGTAATGGATATTGTGGGAGTAAGACAAGAGGGTTATTTTATAGGCATTTCACTAGATTCAAACTCTCTACCTACTGATTTTACAGAACTTTGGAAAGATGACCTTCCCATTGAACTGTTCAACACTTAAATAGCATGGATAGTACCTTCATCTCTCAGTCTGGCAAAGAAATATTTTCCCTTGCTATGTTTTTCAGAAAACACACAGTACAAGTGCACTCATTGAGTTCAGATGACATGACAGCTCACAACCTGGGTTGCAGATGGGCTGAGTTTGGATTGTCCTTGAAAGGGTTTATCCTGCAGTCTAAACCCAGCCAAGATAACAAGGCACAATGAGCAACCCACAGTTCACAACTTAGTAATAAACCATTGGTTCTCTTCATGGATTGTTCATGGCTAACAAGCCATGGCTTGATAGCACAGGTGATTATAACTCACATTTCGGAAAACCACTGCTCAATAACAACCCACACTTAACCCTTGAGTGTGAGTGATTGCCCCCCTTCCACACACCCGCAACTAAAAACATCTTTGGGGGTAGATATTTGCACAGGGAAATCAGTGTGGAGGCTAAGGAATCCCACTCCCTTTGCAATGTGGTGCTACAATGAACTGGAGAAGGCACAGCGATGGCTGGTTTTGGACAAGAAAAGGATGTTGGACATCCAATCATGGAACCGGTGTACCTCTCACTTGGTCTCAAAGTGCGTACATTGACTCACACCCTTCAGAACGAACATCTTACATTGGAACCTGGTGATTTGCAGTTAATTCCCAGCCTAGCAAAAAGTTGAGCGACTCTGATCTGATTCACCGCCGCTGCCGCCACCACCTCGCGCACACACACACACACACACACACCTCAAAATCAACTGCTGAATGCCTAGATTTTCTTATCCCTTCTCCTGTCTGGCACAGGAAGCTTCCAGCATGGATGAGAAGGGCAGGAAAGTTTGAGGCAAGGGTTGGCAGAAGGAGGAGGGCCCTCCGACCCCTACATAGCACCATGCTGTTTGCAAAGGGGTCAAAGTGGCCTGAAATCTGCTGAGGCTGCAGCACAGCGGTGCCACATACATGACTTACCTGCTGGATTGCAGGGAGGGTAATGAGGAGAAATGTTGCTAATGTGTTCTGATAAAATGGAGCAGAAGTGACTGAAGGAGAGTTTATAAGACACTTTGAGCTAAAGAGTTTCCTGCTTAAGTCAAAGTAGAACACAACGATGCAAAGAAATGTCTTTGCACATTACACTACAAGCAGCTTTGATGTTAATATTCATATTTTTAATTTAAGTGCATGTTTGAATTCACCCAAATCAAGGGTGAATTCAACAGGCCTCAGCTATTTGGCAGTATAGAGATAAAATGAATAGCAATAACATTCATTCAGCTGCAATGTACTTTTACCTTTAACATATTTTTCAAGTTTCTGGCCTGCATTAACTTTATTTACAGATGTAGAAAACTGGAATGATGGGGGCTTTCATGGTACCTTTGATGACATGGGGGAACATTTCTTTAGTGTGCATGTAGGAACATATTAAAACATGTTCACCAGCTGCATTTCCACCATCTCTCCTAGCCACACAGAGGGAGGGTTTGCATGTTTCAAGAAGCCACAATTATTTTTTACAGTTGTTGGTCTATTCTGATGCTGCAAACCAATCTGATCTCTACTGCCCCTAGTTCCCTAGCAACACACACACACACACACACACACACACACACACACACACACACACACACAATCTGTTCCTATTGGCTAAGCAATGACTTGTCACCCTATTTACTCTCTGAAACAGGGAGAAAGCAGGATAATATATGAAGGGCAAAGGGGAAATCATGGCAACAGTGTTTATTTTATTTTAATTTTTTAAAAACTCTTTGGGAGCTGGAGAAGCTAGGAAGCCTTGTAGAAATCCAGTTACACCTGGGATGGGGAAGAGGCAGAGCCTTCCTGAAACCCACAGCTGACCATCAGGAATGGAGAGCTTAGGTCCATATGAATCAATGCAGACCGGAAGGGAATTTTGCTCCTGGGAATTTTGCTGGGATGTGTAGTGAGAGCAGGAGAACAGTGTGGGGGAGCACAGAAACCTCATTGCCATGGGAACCATCATCCCAAAGGGAGGTCTAGGCAAAAATCCATGCACTGTAGAAGCTGCACAGGGTTGCTTGTCATGAGGTATGAACCCACCCAGTGTCCACCAGCAGCATACCCTCTTGGGCTTCGAGGTCCAGGGTCGCCACCAAAGCCCGTGGTCCTGGCAGAGGCAAGGAGGCTGGAGGAGAATAGGGTAGGGATGTTATGGAAAGGGAACATCTGCAACTGGATGAGAACTGGGGGAAAAGAAGTAATGGAAAAGACTTGTGACTTCCCAAAAGCATGAAGAACACTGTTTATCTCTAGGCAGTCAACATGCACAGGCTTCTGTAATTGAAATATCCACACTGCAATTAAAATACATGTCTTTACTGATTACAGCATTTTAAAAACACATAAAATGATCAATTTCTATATCAGCAATTTATATTTACATTTTTCTTCCAATTCATTAAAAATACTGATCTGTTTTTAAAAAACACAAGTAATTTACAGGAAATACTTGGAAAATGAGAATAAGTAGAGGGCAGGCATCATCCAGGTCCTAGTATTGCTGACCATTGACCAAACTGGCAGAGACTAATGGGAGCTGAAGTCTAAAACATCTGCTGATCTAACCTCTCTCTACCCTTGTTGATCCCTCATCTCATAAGATACAGATATGGAAAGAAAGTTATTGTATAATTCTTAATATGGGAATTATGGCCTTTATCAGATTGGCTTATCCAAACTCTTGTAAATGGTGTGTGTCTGAATCAATTCTACAGCAGAGCAAGAATAAATGGAAGCCAAATGGTAGAGAACCATCACGCCTTAATCTTTGCATGCAACAATGAATTGAGAATTTCAATTTACTATTACAGATGTTTAGATTCTGTTAAATCCATTCCATCTGTATTTGGGAGATCGTCAAGTGCTTATTGTTCCATTGATGGACCTGGAATATTTTAGGGATGCATGAAAAATTTTGTTCTACTCCCGCAGGTGCACTTTAGCTCTAACGCCCACTTGCATTCATGTGCCCTTGCCCCAATGCACTAATGTCTATCGACACAAGTGCAAATTTGTGCAAATCACGCTAAAGGTTTTTTTTTAAGTCCACAAAACCATGGAAGCTGGAGTTCTTGGAAAAAGACAGTCTGCTTCAGGATCCATAGGTTGTGTTAATAGAAATTAAAACTCATTTGGACTGGTTGTGGATTTTTCCAACACTGCTACTTGGCATCCAATGTATTGGCTCCTATGTCTGCGTCAAAAGGAATACGCACATGCACACATACACATAATGAAAGAAGAATTCTTTCTAGCCAAAAAATACCCACATAGTTACCTAGAAGGTGGTAGAAACCTATGGAGGATTTTAAAGGTACTGGTGGACTGTGTACAGCAATTTGGGAAAATTTGCTAAGAAATGATAGGTGACTATGAAATAAGGCCAATAGATCAGCTCTATAAATATATGGGATTTTTTTTTAACCAATGTTAGTCTTACTTAAAGTAGACCTATTGAAATGAATAGAAGTTAAGTTAGAATAACATTGAATGCAAGCCTCTCTTAGCCAGCTTTCTCCCCTGCACCACCCTCGGGGAAAATTGTTTGTGGTTGGCTTCAGAACAAAACAAAACAAAAACAGTCCAGCCTGGAAGAATTTTAACACTGTCAGAGTAAGAAGCTTGCTTCTGTTAGCCACCAGTCAATGTCTATAACAAAGTGATTAAATCCATGTACAAACCCACACATGCAAAAGTGGTTGTCCCATGTATGCAATGTATAACCTTTTGGGAGGATTAAATAAAAGACTGAGTCATAAATGATACCTAAAATGATGATGCTACATGCAGGTGGTAAGAACTTCAACATGGTTTTCAACATGACATTCAGTTGTGTTCCCACACTCAAGCACGACAGTATTTTCATAGACATGGTGGCCTTCTTCACACCTGAAATTTTGGGGGAAATTATGATTATGCATTTATTACATTGTATCACTGTCTTCCACCAAGAAACTCAGGACAGCATATATGGATCTTCCTCCTATCTCCCTTTGACCTTGTGAGGTTGGTTACTGATGGATGCTGATCCAGTTTGCACGTACCAGAAATCTGTAGATCTTTAACCCACACATTGCTGGAATAAGCGAGAGGACGTGAGCACGCTTTCTTGGCATGCTTGCTGCTTCTGCTTTCATGGATCAGCCCACAATCAGCCCACTTGTAGGTTGCTAGTGAGGCATTCTAACCGAATTGTTAAAGGTTAAACTTTAAGTCTGGGTTGCTTGACCACTAAAAGAAACTAAAGGTGTTTCAGTTCAGACAACATACTAAGAACCTATGAACAAGGAAGTGGTGGGTTGCTAACCGAAAGCAAAAGCAAAAGGCAAACCAGAGGCAGTGTGCACCGATTGCCCTTGCATGAGAACGTGCACATTCAAGAACCGCTGTGCTCTTGAGCTTTCTGGTTCCAAAACTTGCATCCTCAATATCACACTATTTTGCTGGTCAAAGCCAAGTAAAAATTGACCTTGTGAAGTTTAAAGATCTTAGACTCTGATATAATATGTCCTCTTCTAGGCACAATCATGGCAGAAGAGTATATTGAATATCAGTCTTATAGCCCTGTAAGGTCCCAGGGTGGCCTGCAGCACCCCTAACTACCCCTGAAAATCGGGACTTATGGATTTTGTTAAATCCATTCCTTCTATATTTCATAAATTGTCAGGGGTATTTCAGTCCATCATGGACTCACTTGTGGACTCAACTGGACTTTAAAAAAAACAGAAGTTTTTTCTACTTCCATTAATTTGCATTAGTGCTAATGAAAATTAGTGAAAATACCACCATCCTTCCTCACCACCCCAGTAAAAAAAACCAACCCACAGATCCACAGATGTGTGATACTTGGAAAAATCTGCTCTGGAATCTACATGTTGGATTCCTAGAAATCTGAATCCAAATGATTACACTTATCTCAGAGCCAGAAGCAATGTATCCTCATGGTAGGACAATGGTTAAGTCAGGTTTCAATCAGAGAATGAGGAACTCAACCATCTGTCCTATCCTGGTACT